AAGTATTGTTCACTAGTCGGCTGAAAAATGTGGCATCTGAAATTTCACATGTTATCATTGAACCTCTTCCCCTCTCATCAAGTGAAAGTTGGACGTTATTAGAGAAAAATGTGTTCAAGAAAGAACGTTGCCCTCAAGAACTGCTAGCTATCAGAAAGCAAATTGCAATATATTGTCGTGGACTACCGCTCTCAATCGTCATGATAGCTGGAGTTCTTTTGAATATGGAGAAGAAAGAAAACTTATGGCAAAAAGTTGCAGAAAATTTAAGTTCTTACATTTTCAAAAAAGACGATGAATACATTCCTATATTGAAACTTAGTTACATGCATTTACCAAATCACTTGAAGCCACGTTTCCTCTACCTTAGTGCATACAAAGAAGATGAGGAAATTCCTGTTCGGAAGCTATTACTACTAGGGATAGCTAAAGGATTCATAGAGAAAAAGGAGCACAAGAGCTTAGAAGATGTAGCTGAGGAGTATCTAATGGAACTTATTAACAGGAGCCTACTGCAAGTTTCCAGAAGAAGATTTGACAATGGAGTGAAAGCTTGTAGTCTTCATGATCTAGTACTTGATATGTGCTGGAAAATAGCTGAAGAAGAAAATGACTTGTTATTTTCTTTTATTTATTTACATTTTAGGTCTTTCTCTACTACTGTATTTTTCCGTAATCAACCATTATAAGTATTTCCAAGTTTGAAATGAAATTCGTTTGCTTTCAACTTTTTCGTCTAATTTATGGTTTTTGCATAATCTCCCACCTAAACTTAGGAAAATATTAAAATCAGCACTACGTGTAATGTGCTCGTTCTAGTATTGTTTCAAAGGTAAAGTAATTATTACATTACCTTATTTCAGCAATATCCCAAAACATAGGGCCCCTGTTTTCGTTCAAGTTTCAAAATGATAATTTTTTTATTTTTGACGATTGTTTTGCACCTTTTTGAGATACCATGTGACAATGTTCAACTCAATCGAACTAGGCAATACAAAGTGACTTTCCAGTCCAAGTAGTCGTAGATTAGTATAATGCCAAGTAATCTATTTCTGAAACCTCGTTCATTCTATTGCTTTCCGATCCAACGGAGATTTTAAAATGCTAGTTGGAATGTGAGTTTTTAGCCATTGCTTGACATTTATTTGCCTCAAATTTTGACTGACTCCATGTCTTAGTAACGGGAGACAACATAAGAACTTTTTTGTTGAGTTCTTCAAATTGAGTTGTCTTGCATTTTTAATAATTCTTTATTACCCACCATTTGTTGCACATCAGGATTAAAAAAAAAGGGGGAAAGAAGAGAAGTCATCTCTTCAAGTATTCTGAATTATCTAACTCAAATAGAACATCTTTCATGGCCAGCAAAATTGACAGACGTCTTTCAAACATAGAAGGACGAAGTTATCAGCTTAATTTGAATACACAGGCTTTAAGCTGCCAAATTCATCTTTGCTCTTTGGGCAATGTAGAACCAAATTTAAGGTACAGATCTCTCAATTTAAAAGAAATTGATTAGAAAAACAATATGTATATTACATTCTGCCGTAGTTTCAGGGGAAGTGTTGAAAATCAAGAACCTTTTAACTTATGAACAAGTTATTAATTGTTCTGAATCAAATAAGACTGCAAGCTAAGAGAGAAGAAATATATTCTTCAACAAAGAATAAGACTTGGACCCTTGTGAATAGACCTGAGAAAACAAAGTTTTTTTCCTGCAAATGAAAGAAAAGATATCATAAATGATAAATCATTGCTGACAAACAGCACAATGAAAGCAGGAATGCAATCAGCCTAGTAAACAAGAAATTGCAGCCAGTTTGTGGGCTACTTGTTCGCTAAATGGTTTAACAATACAAGAATATAGTACCTAAACAGACAAATTAGATCAAAGATATAAAGCCACCAAATTGTTCTAGCATAGTAAGTCTCATTTAGGTTCGATTTACAAAATACAAGAATATAGTACCTAAAAAAATAAAGCAAAATATGAAGGTAGGATAGACGTTGTTGATACACGTCAAGAAGGAAACATCAAAATTTATCCTCATACATTTGACTTAGTCAATTTCGAGAAGAACGACTCCTTGGATTTGTTTTTGACCGTGTTGAAGGAAATAACGCGAAATGTTAAGGACCTTATTGCTGATAGTATAATAAAGGGTCTTAAAGATGTCTATCCTGATGCACATCATGGCAACTAAATTTACCATATACAAAGCAACATAAATTGCCTCTCGACTTCTCCTTCAACAAGTTCAATGGATTCCTTTATGAGGGTGAAAAAGTTTCATGGATTCCTCCTGAATTTCTTTCTTTCCTTCAACTGAGATTTCTTGCCGGAACTACAAATTGAATATAAGCATCTTTAGTTGGTATATTACCACTTTGCCTTTAAGAACAAAACAAATTCATTTGATGTCTTAAATGGATTGTCATCATTTTCGACTAGAGTAAATTTTCTTAATATGGATGGTCATCATTTTCGACTAGAATAAATTTTCTTAATATGGATGATCATCATTTTCTTTACAAATGCCAACTCGATTAGGTAAGTGCCTAGATTCAATTAACTTGCCATTAGAATAAAACGAATTAGTTAATGTTCAGGATTACAATTTCAGCACACTGCATTTGTGAATGCGTTCACTTTCATCAGTCACCAGGTAAAAAATGCCTCCACTGCACTAGATTCGTGTCTCTACCACTACTGTCGACCAGAATTAATGTGAAGTATTTATTGGGCAATGGAGAAAAAAGTTTTATGAATTTCTTTCTTCCTTCAATTGAGAATTCATGAGGAAACTAGAAATGGACTACAAGTAGGGTTGGCAACGGTTCGATTCGGTTCAGCCAAAATCATCGTCGAACCACCAATTTTTTGGCTATACTGTAACCGCACGATAACCACGTAAGTCGGTTTGGCTCAGTTGGGGTGGTTAATAACTGTGAAAATAAATTATTTTTCATGGGTCAAAATTGAAAAAAACAATTTATGAAAAAAAGTCACACATGATGGTTATCAATTGATAGTCGAGTAAATTATATTGGATCACTTCAAACAATTTATGCTACTATATTGTTTAGATTATTGGATTTGGTTTACATCCCAAGGGTTCATTTGAAGTGCAAAGTCTCCCTCTTAATGAGAGGATTCTCAATTTCTCTGGGTTTTTAGTTAGGACCAAGCTACTTGTACCTCGACATTGACATGCCAGGGTACACGCCCCCTCACAATAGGGGATCCCATGCCTTTTCCAACGACAACCCCTTTTGCTGTGAGGGACGTGCACCCTGATGTGTCAACACCTGAGTACAAATGGAAAAATCCTTTTTGTTAAGAGGATGAGAGAAAAATGTAACATTGCAGTCATAACTTTGTATTGTTGAAGACAATACTTTTAATTGCGTTGTTGATCACTTACCATACCAAAATTGTACAAAGGACCAATAGAGGGTACATCTGTAAGAAGATAAGAAGATGGCAATTTATGATACCAAGAGTGATATTTAGGTTACTGATGACAAAATCAAGAAAGGCAAAGACTGTGTATACTTAATTTCAAGCTAATCCAAATGCCTAAAACTAATCAAATAATCAAATTTACCGTAAGTGAATAAGTTTTTTGAAACTGAAATTGTTGATTGAGTGAGTTGATAACCATCATGTGTAACTACAAAGGAAGAAAAAAGGCCCATGTAGAGTTTGCAAAATTAAATATTTTTTTATACATGTTTTGTATTGGATTACTATTTAGATGGAAAAAAATAAATTTAACAGCTAATCGGTTCAATTCGGGATGACGGTGTAAATACCATAACCGCACTGCCCCAAACCGGGTCATTAAAATCAAATACCATATCCGCCCCATTGCACCATTTTCTTTAAAAATGCCAAATCGATTAGGTAAATGTCTATCTTCTACCAACTTGATCCTAAACAAAAATGAATTAGTTGTCCACAGTTACAATTTCAGCATATGCCGCATTTGTGAATATATACGTTCACTATTCTCATCAATCACTAGTTAAAAAATGCATCCACTGAACTAGATTTGTGGCTCCACCAATACCGTCGCCGTAATTAATGTAAAGTGTCATGGGCAAAGTGAAAAAAGTTTCATGAATTTCTTTCTTCCTATCAATTGAGATTTCTTGTAGGAATTGGAAATCGAATACAAGCATCTTTGATTGATATATTCCTACTTGGCCTTTAAGAACAAAACAAAAGAATTGGACTTGTAATAATACTAACCTACTAGACCACTTGTGCTTTGATTCCATTACTTAATTAAATTATCCTAATATGGCCGGTCGTCATTTTTTCGAAAATGCCAACTTGATTAGTTAAAGGTCTATTTTCAACCAATTTTCCCTTAAAATAAAATGAATTGAGACACCAATTGTAATTAGAGATGTGCTAGTTGTCCATGATTACAATTTCTATGAATATACGCAACCCAACAATACTTGATGGACCACTTTGACTTGATTTCTCTCATAGACGAAATGAAAATACAAAAGACAAAACAAAATGTCTAACTTTATTTTAGAAACAGGAAAAGAAATCAAGGTCATATATTATGAGTAATTTCTATTAAACCTAAATTGTTTATATGCATCATTAAAACAAAATTTTACCCTTTAATACTTGCCCACTAATAAATTATATCTAGTTATAGAGCACTCAGGCCTCCAAGGCATAATTATTAAACACAACCCGAATCGGTCGCCGGTTAATCAGGTTGAAATTTTTTATTTTTTAATTAAGTTTTGTATTCAGTCAAAAAAGAAATCTAATAATTTGATTTTTCCTTTGGCAACGATGAACAAGTTAAGAAACTTAGTTTTTACCAAGCAAAAGCCACATGGCGCCCCTGTTTTTTAACCTGGCTCTAAAGCAGTGTTCATAAACCTTTGCTCTGGCTTTATTGCTGCTTAAAGTTTCAACCTTTGCTTTGTGTGTATTTTTTGAATTCACTGTCATTAATCACTCACTCTCTCTCTCTTTCTCTCTCTGCTTAGCGTTTCACCCATACCAATACTTGATGGATTTCTCTTACAAAAATCTGTCATATCTAATCAAAAGCCCAAATCTCCTTTTCCATATGCAAGATTTGGAGCTTGATGAAGGAAAAATTGTCAGCTTTCAGTGGCTTGGACCACACTTTTTAACTTTCCTCAAATATGTAGCAAAATGGCGGTTTCGGTTCCAGAGGATTATTGAGCTGTTGGGGAATCTTGATAATTCAGCCTTAGATTGCATCATATATGGAGAGAATGAACATTACAAAAACTTTTTAGAAATCATATTCTCTTTCATGCCACGGACTGTAGAGTTCTTCACAAGTCCATACCTGCAGCAATGGTTAGAAAGTGGTGGAATTACCGCTCCCACCAAAATCTATTTCCTTCTTGAAACTATACGAGAATTGCTTGATTGCGGAACAGATTCCTGTCTTCTTGTGAGTAATCAAGTCAAAATTCTTTTTGAGGAGCTACAATTTCTGCGCCTCGTTTCTTCAGATATGATGAGATGTGCAATGGGAGAACGGGTCGAGTCTATGGGATTAAGAATTTTTAAGATGTCAGAAAATCAGATATTCAGAGAATTTGAAGCTGTCTTTATAGACGCGGGACTTTTCTTGCATTCGTTCTTCTTCACCACAGACCGTGTTACCATGACCAAAATGGATTTGGCAATTTCTATTCTGCTAGAAAGAATTGAGATTGTGAAAGTGAAGTTCAAAGATTATTGCATTGCAGTCTCAATGAATATGAATTGTGGAATTGGAAGCCTTCAAATTGCAGAAAGTCCCAGTGAAGTATCATCATCCCATGACAAAAGCATTCCCGTGGTAGATGAGATGATTGTGGGCTTAGAGGACGTGGCAACAGAAATTATAAGCAAGCTTCTTGGAGGACCGAGCTACCGCCAGATTATTTCCATAGTTGGAATGGGTGGACTTGGCAAGACCACTTTAGCAAAGAAAATATACAATGGTTCCAACGTTCGGTACTATTTTGATAAGCTTTCTTGGTGTGTTGTTTCTCAAACTTACCAAAAGAGAAAGCTGTTGGTTGACATTTTGAGCTCCATGAGTAACCTTAACAACCACAAAATTTCAGAAATGGAAGATGAAGAGTTGGCTGAACACCTTTACAAAACTTTAATCGGTAGAAGATATCTCATTGTTATAGATGATCTATGGGATATCTGTGCCTGGGATGACTTGAGAAGGTACTTTCCAGATGACAAAATTAACAGAAGCAGAGTATTGTTCACTAGTCGGTTGAAAAATCTGGCATCTGAAATTTCACATGTTATCATTGAACCTCTTCCCCTCTCACCAGGTGAAAGTTGGAAGTTATTGGAGAAGAATGTGTTCAAGAAAAAACGTTGCCCTCAAGAACTGCAAGATATTGGAAAGCAAATTGCAACATATTGTCATGGACTCCCGCTTTCAATCATCACGATAGCTGGAGTTCTTTCGAATATGGAGAAGAAAGAAAGCTTATGGCAAAAAGTTGCAGAAGATTTAAGTTCTTACATTTCCCAAAAAGCCTATGAATACATTCCCACATTGAAACTAAGTTACATGCATTTGCCAAATCACTTGAAGCCATGTTTCCTCTATCTTAGTGCATACAGGGAAGACGAGGTAATTCGAGTTCGGAAGCTATTATTACTATGGATAGCTGAAGGATTCATACAGAAAAAGCAGCACAAGAGCTTAGAAGATGTAGCTGAGGAGTATCTAATGGAACTTATTAACAGAAGCCTGCTGCAAGTTTCCAGAATAAGATCTGAGAATGTAGTAAAAGCATGTAGTCTTCACGATCTAGTACTTGATATGTGCTGGAAAATAGCTGAAGAAGAAAATTTTCTATTTCAACAGTAAGTTAAACCTCTCTCTTTCTAATACATTCTTGTTTTACTTTTCTTTTCCAATTTAGCCTACTAATTTATGGTATTAATGTCAATGTTGTTGCTGTTGCTGTTGCTGTTGCTGTTGCTGACACTCATGCTGGCTGATGTGCTTGTAAACTGATGATGATCCTCCATGTTCTTATTATACTAACTCTTTAGTGAATTCTTGCTATCTAAGCATCGCCATCGATTGTTTAGGGATTGGTCTCATCGTCTCTCTGAGGACTTAACCATTTTTTACAATTTGGAAAATATTAAAATCTTTGATGGAGAGCATGGATACTTATTCAGGATTAGTGTTATGGGTGACTTGAGGTACTTGATAATTGACTCATTAGAGTTATCAATAAGCAGTCTCCAGAACCTAGAATTCCTTCGTGTTGAATTCTTGGATTCTATACCAAGATACCTTCTCTATATGCCTAACTTGAGACATTTACATGTTGGAAAGTCATATTTCCCTGGAATATTCCAGAAGAACTGTGATAGCTCAGATATCTCCCGAATAAGTAGCCTGCAAACCCTTCGTTATGTTTATATTGACGATTCAGAAAGCGAAGAAATCTTGAGAAGTTTACCAAATCTTCATAAGCTTAAATGTACATCTCCAAACAATTTTTGTCCAGATCTCAGCTTCCTTACTCAGCTTGAATCGCTTACAATGGCTTTTGAAAGTAGATTTGAAGGTGATTACTCAGTGATTAACTTCCCCACGAACATAAAAAAGCTAACTCTTTCTGAATTGGCTTTGCCTTGGAAAAAGATGTCATTAATTGGGACATTGCCCAACCTGAGGATTCTGAAATTAGAAAATGAAGCCTTTGAAGGAGAAATCTGGAACACAAAGGGGATGAGTTCCAAAAACTCAAGTTCCTTCAACTAAAATGGTTAGATCTTGAACAATGGAATTCCTTTCATGATCACTTCCCCGTGCTTGAAGTACTGTTGTTGTTTGGATGCGAAAAATTGAAGATGATTCCTTCTGAATTTAGCAATATTCCAACACTACAGAAGATTGGGGTATATTTCTGTGGCAAAAATGTTGAGAGTTCAGCTTCGGAAATTCGAGAAGGACAACTGGAGAATGGTAACCAAGACTTTGAGGTAACCTTTAATTGGTCATTACAGTAGACTTTTTTCATTTTTTTTTATGAAATATCATAGCAGGAGATTCCTTGACATCCCACACAAAAAAGATGTAACTTCCAGCTCCATATCAATTGCTAGTTGTGAATTCATAGTATTTTCTTTGTAATGAGCATGAAGTTATGTCTTCTCTTTTGCATGTTAAATAATTGTTTGGTTGCAAATTATATTTTATTATGGTTAATTTGACAAGTGACTGGATCTTGATCTCAGCCTGGAATATTTTGCCTTGTTATTTTCATTTTAGGTCTTTCTCTACTACTGTATTTTTCCGTAATCAACCATTATAAGTATTCCCAAGTGTGAAATGAAATTCATTTGCTTTCAACATTTTCATCTAATTTATGTTTTTCGCATAATCCCCCATCTAAAATTAGAAAAATATTAAAATCAGCACTACGTGTAATGTGCTTGTTCTAGCATTGTTTCAAAGCTGAAGTAATTATTAAGTTACCGTGTTTCAGAATGATAATTCTTTATTTTGATGATTGTTTTGCACCTTTGTGAGATGCCACATGACAATGTGCGACTCAATCGAACTAGGCAATACAAAGTGGCTTTCCGATCCAAGTAGTTGTAGATTAGTATAACTTCAAGTAATCTACTTCTGAAACGTCGTTCAATCCATTGCTTTCCGGTCCAGCAGAGTGATTTTAAAATGCTAGTTGGAACGTGAGTTTTTAGCCATTGCTTGACATTTATTTGCCGCAAATTTTGATTGACTCCATGTCTTAGTAACAGGAGAGAACATAAGAACTATTTTATCAAGTTCTTCAAATTGAGTTGTCTTGCATTTTTAATAATTGTTTATTACCCCCCATTTTATTTCACGTCAGGATAAAAAGAAAAAGGAAAGATGAGAAGTTGACTCAAATATTCAAGACTACAAGCTATGAGAGAAGAAATATATTCTTTAACAAAGAAGAAGACTTGGACACTCGTGAATGGACCAGAGAACAAAGTTTTTCCTTTCATTTATTTTTTTTTTAATTTTAATTTTAATTTTTTTGGGTGGTGCAAATAAAAGAAAACATATTATAAATCAGTGCTAGCAAACGGTGCAACGAAAGCAGGAATGCAATAAGCCTAATGATCAATGGCTATGAAAGAAATTGCGGCCAGTTTGTGGGCTACCTGTTTGCTAAATAGTTTAACAATACAACAATATAATACCAAAATAGACCAATTAGACCAGTCGAAGACATGGAGCCACCAAATTGTTCAAGCATAATAAGTCTCATTTAAATTTGATTTACGAAATACAAGAATATAGTACCTAAAAGAATATAGCAAACGTATGACGTTTGTTGATACACGACAATTTCAAGCAGAACAACTCATTGGAATGGTTTTTCACAATGTTGAAGGTAGTAACGTGAAATGTTGAGGACCTTGTTGCTAATAGTATAATAAGGGTGGATTATCTTGATGCATATAGTGGCAAATAAATTTACCATATACAAAGCAACATAAATTGTTTCTCGACTTCTCCTTCAACAAAGTTCAATGGATTCCTATCTAATTTCTTTGTTTCCTTCAACTGAGATTTCTTGTCGGAACTACAAATGGAATATAAACATCTTTAGTTGGTATATTACCTCTTTGCCTTTAAGAACAAAACAAATTCATTTGACATATAATAATTGTAACCTATTATACCACTTGTCTTTTGATGTCATTAATATTATTTTAATAATTGTCTTAAATGGGTGGTCATCATTTTCGACTAGAATAAATTTTCTTAATATGGATGATCATCATTTTCTTTACAAATACCAACACGATTAGGTAAATGTCTAGCTTCAAAAAACTTGCCATTAAAATAAAATATATTAGTTAATGTTCAGGATTACAATTTCACACACTGCATTTGTGAATACATTCACTCTCATCGGAGAAAAAAGTTTCACAAATTTCTTTCTTCCCTTCAATTGAGATTTCTTGTGGGAACTAGAAATCGAATACAATCATCTTTGATTGATATATTCCCTACTTGGCCTTTAAGAACAAAACAAAAGAATTGGACGTGTAATAATACTAACCTGCTACACCACTTGTGTTTTGATTCCATTACTTAATTAAATTATCTTAATATGGACGGTCATCATTTTCTTCGAAAATGCCAACTTGATTAGTTAAAGGTCTATTTTCAACCAACTTTCCCATAAAATGAAATGAATTTAGAAGCCAAATTTAATTAGAGATGTATTAGTTGTCCATGATTACAATTTCTGTGAATATGCCCAACCCAACAATACTTAATGGAACACACTGACTTGATTTCTCTCTTAGACGAAATGAAAATACAAAAGTATGATCTACAAAACAAAATGTCTTACCTCATTTTAAAAACATGAAAAGAAATCTAGGTCATATATTATGAGTAATGTCTATTGCACCTAAACTGTTTATATGTATCATTAAAAACAACATTTTACCCTTTAGTACTTGCCCACTGATAAATTATATCTAGTTATAGAGCACAAAGGCCTCAAATGCATAATTATTAAACGCAGCTCTAATAGGTTGATTAACTGGGGAATCGATTAATCGGCCAGTTAATCAGGATGGTTCTCTAAATTGGCCAAACAAAAAATTGATCCGTGAACAACCATATCCACCAGGTAAAACTGGGTGGAATGACAATTTGAGATTAGGGATTGAATTTATTCATTAATAATTTTAAATTTGAATTGTGTATCTCTTGCTCAAAACTGCTGACATATCTAAAAAATATATTTTACCAACAATCTGTTTCGTATCTAACTACATGATCTTCTATGTTTTAGTTGTTCTTCATCGTAATTCCACCTCTTTTTCTTTAGGTCTTTCACGTCCGTTTTCATTACAAGTTTATTGTTTCATGTATATTTGAAAATGGTTAAGAAAATATAAGAATTGATCTGCTGGTCTACGGTTGAACCATTGACCTGACAACCCATTTCCCATGTCCATGGAGAAAACTATAAATAGGGGTTGGGGGCTTTTCATTTTAAGGGATCTGAAATTATCTAGGAGGCAAGCTTCTCAGCTGGAAAATTCATTTACATAGCAATTTCGTAATTAGTTTTATACATAAATTATTTTCTTTTTTTAATTTAGATTTCTAAATCCAGTTCAATTTAAAGTTAGGGGTGGCAGTGGACTCGAGCCGTTTGCATTATAGGCTGACTCATCTGGGCTCGCTTATGGGCAATTGAACTGGTTGAACATTGGTCTTGTGCCGAGCGTGGCTCCATTTTTGGAAACGAGTCAGCTCATGAATGCCGGGGAGCCCGATTCTTTGGGCTAACTCATGGGTAGGCCTAACATGATTTACAAGTCCCTAAATTTTTCAGCGACCCATTTATCCGGATGCTGCTTTTGCATACTCTGATTGAATTACTCATAAAATGTTCTATTGGCCTATTAAAATTGAAATTCTGATTTTTAAATTAATTTAAAAAATTTCTACTTCTTTTTAAACTATTTTTCTTATACAAATCATTTCGCCAATCATCTCTGTAACATTCCAGAATTTTCTATGACGTTATTTAAACTTTGGAAGTAGAATTGTTGTCCTTTCCGTCCATAGTCTCTTGTTTGCTTGTTTTGCTCGGTTTGTCCAAGAATGTGATAGCTCAGTTCTGCATTCAGTCAAAAAAAATCAAGAATGTGATTTCTTCTTTGGAAGCAATGAACAACTGAAGAAACTTATGAAAGTTTTATTTACAATTAATGGACACAGCCATATTGTTTTTATAAATATTTTGTTGCAAAAGCCAACCTGTCTAAGCAAAGACTAGTTATTAAAAAAGTGAACTTTAGAAGCTGGACTGGTGGATCAAGGTCTTACTCAAAATCAAAATATAAAATAACTAAATTTCACTACATAATTAAATAAGTGTTTTACAATTGGATATGGTATATGTACAAATAATCTCCTACATATGCTATGTAGTATAAAACATGCCCACCACTGCCACGTCAGTGGTCAAGCCTTGAATTGTGAAAAATCGTAAATCCACATCAGCGGTGGACAAGATAGCTCCTACACACCATGGGTAGGAGATCATTTCCAATAGCATATATAGAACTGAGGTGTTCAAATTTAATTTTTTGGTCACTCAATATTTTATTCAGAGTTTGAATGTCCAAACATTTGCTCATAGTGTTATCAATTTGGTTCATCGACTCCGATGGCCCGTGTTCTCGAGTCAGCCTGGCTCACGGCTTGGAGAAACTGAGCCAAGGCTCAAGCCAAGCCTCATTTAGAGCTCGAGCTCGCCCGTGTGCCTAGTCAACCAAACGGGCCAGCCATGTCATGGACCAAAAATGGGCTGCAATGAGCCAGCCCAAACATGGGCCATTTTGGCTAGTGTTATTTGAAAAAGAAAAATTTAAAAAGGCAACCACAACTGTCCAAAAAATAGGCAGCAGTAGCTACCTCTTAAAAAAAAAAAAGGCAACCTTAGCTATCTCTAATTTTTTTTAACGGTTGTGCTAATGGTACATAAGGGTGTACATAAGCATGTAAACCCCTCTCACATGGGGTATAGGATCCATCCGAATAAAAAACACTTATTCAGGTGGACCTCACACCCCATTTCGGGGGGATGTACACCCTTAGGGATACCCTATTATGTATCGCTAGATTAATTCTTTTTTCATACAAGAAGTAGCCTATTGCAATAGGCAACTAATAGCGGTAGCCATGTGCAGCTACACATAGTTTCGCTCAAACATCTACTAGCTACTTATTTAATATAAAAATAGCAGCTAGCCGCCTTCTGCAGATCAAATTCAAATTTTGGTAGAAACGGACTCATTTTTTGTTATGAAAACAAGGTAAAATTTATGGTTTCATATTAACTTACTTCAGCAATATTGCAGTATTCTATTTTTCAAGTTCATTCTCCAACTGTTGTGCTATATTATTTGGTTATTTTTACTTTAATATTCAGTATATTTTACCATAATAGCCCCAAATGAATTATACCAGTGATGAGATTAACCAATTTCGAGTAATATATCCGATTATGATGCTTCTCAAAAATGTTCCAATTGATTTGGAGGGTATCGAAGAGGAAGAAGTACTCAAAATTAAAAGGTAAAAAATAATAATCGGATTGTTGACAACATATGACACATAAAAAAGATGGTTTTCAAAATGGAATAGATATTTCAAAAGTATGTTGCAATTACTATAGCATAAAGCTTAGTTAAAAGTTTG